CCATATGTCATGATTCAACCTGTTGTACATTCAGTGCCCCACACACATTTCTGATCTTGTCAGTAGATGCCTACTCTTTTATTATTTTTATTATTTTTTAAAGATTTATTTATTTATTTGAGAGAGAGAGAGAGAGAGAGTGGGTAGAGAGGCAGAGGGAGAGAAACTCAAGTAAACTCCGTGCTGAGTGCAGAGCCCGACATGGGGCTCGATCCCATGACCCTGAGATCAGACCTGAGCTGAAACCAAGAGTGGAGGCTTCACTGTCTGCACCAGCCAGGGATCCCCTCCCTGGTACTCTTTTAAATCTATGCTTAGAAAGTACCTTTACCCTCTGCCATCAGTTGAATGTCATCTACTACGAAGAAATGCCTTAAATGCCACTTTCTATGTAAAAGACTTCTTCATGTTACACTGGTATGTAGTTTCTTGCTCTAAATTCTAAAACATTCAAAACTTCTTGACTTGCTTTATATTTATATTTATATCATACCAGTTTTATGGGATTTGCTTACCTCACAAGGACTGCATATTAATCCCAAACCACACTGAATTTTGAATTTAATAAATACAATTAAATAGACCAAATGTCCTTAATAGTTGCTTATGAAAAATTTCTCTAAATATTACATTATCCTAATTATATTTTCAAATTGGTACTTTCTCCTTTAGGCAACTTATGTCAATACATCATTTATTATGAAACTTTAATTTGTGAGGTACACTCATAATTCTGACCAGCCATTTCCTTTAAGTTTGTTTCATTATCTAAAACTAATTTCTACAACATACTGTGTCTTACTTCCTTTCACTGTCTTCCACTTGATTTGTGAAATAATGAAGATTTTTCATTTTGTAAAGGTAGGAAGTACATAGGAAGACAAATCATGACAAAATCCTTTCATTCCTATGAGGATTGAATAAAGTTGGCCTTTGCTTTAGGAAAAATAAAATCAAGTCTTACATGGGTTGGCTAAAAATCTGTTTTCACTTTAAACCAGAAGGCTTCCAAATAACATGATTTCTTGAGAAAACTCAGTTCCCCTTGGATTAAAGATGAAAGCTATAGTCAGCACTGTTCACATCAGTAAATTTCTTATAAAAACCTTACTTTGCATGTTAAATCCTTTTTATTTTTAAGATTTTTATTTATTTATTTGACAGAGAGAGAGACAGCGAGAGAGGGAACACAAGCAGGGGGAGTGGGAGAGGGAGAAGCAGTCTTCCCGCTGAGCAGGGAGCCCAATGCGGGGCTCGATCCCAGGACACTGGGATCATGACCTGAGCCAAAGGCAGACACTTAACCGACTGAGCCACCCAGGCACCCCTGCATGTTAAATCCTAAGTGATTGTCTGAAAAACTCATAATAAAATTTTTAATTTTTGTCTTCTTTCAAATTACAAAATTCATGCATATTCGTTGGAAAATTTTCTTTCCTTACTTTCTACTTTCAGACATACTCTTCAGAGATAATGTCCATCTACTGTTGGTATATATCATTTCAAAACCTTATGAAACCATATCAAAACCTAAGCATATCAAGACCCATACCCACATGTATGCTAACATACTTACATGCATTCAGATATTATGTTAAACATTCATTTTTAAAGTGGGAGAGTAGTTGGCATGTCTAGGTATATATGAAAGATAGTTGTTTTAAGTAATTAGCCCCAAACAATTTATACACAGCTTTTTTTTTTTTCCTTCTTCTTTATGTATGAAGCAATGTAAGAGAATTAGGGAAGATAAAACTGCCAGGACTTATTTTTGTCACCAGGTATGAAAGATAACCCAACATTTCCCTATCAGATTCTAAGCATTTTGTAGTCCCTAAACTCTCACTGACTTGTAGAACTGCACTTGATATATTTATGACCTTCTTATACAGCAGAATAGAATCCATTCCAAGGCAAGATTATAACGTGTGTTATATATGAGCTGCAGGGAATTCTAGCCTTCAACGCGATCCTTTATGGTTGGAATTTATTGCAAGCTAAGGCCTATCCACACGACTCACAGTTGCATAGGGAGCTGGCTGAGAGCGGCCAGAGTTCCAAGTGACCAGTTATGTCTGATTTATGGGCACGTCGCAGGACTAAGTAGGGGCTCAGTGCCCAGTGCATTTGATTCCCTTCTTGCAAAGATTGTGACCTCTCTTTCCCAGATCTACCACCTTCCCACTCAGTATAGTGCTAGAAGTTGAGAGGAAATGCTTTTATAGGTCTCTTGTAATGTTTAGAAGATAAATAACTTTAGAAGAACTTAATTCACCTGTCTTCTAAGGGGTGCGAAGGACTAACAGTACAAGTATTTGTTTCTTGTTTTATTTTGTTTTTTGTAGTTTTGATAGTTTTGGGGGGTTGTGGGGTTTTTTGTTGTTTGTTTTGTTTTTTATATTTGTGATGGGTTTTGTGGGGTTTTTTGCTGTTTTTTATTTTGTTTTGTTTTACTTTACAATTGAAATATGCAGAAATTTCCTTAAAAATCTATTAAAGAAAACATTTTCAAACTCATAGTAAAAATGGAGAGACCTAATCTTTTTAAATGATATTTTTGCCTCAAGGTTGCAGATTTTCAGTGATGGGCTTGCTTTATAAGATAGTCCATTCTATTCTGTGCTGCTCTGGATTAATAAAAACTCTCTACTTATATTGAAGAAAAAAAAAGCTTTGTGATATTTTTTATTCATTGTTGTTATTTCTGCTCTCTGAGACTGCAATGAATCAGCTAATAGATCTTTTCAAAATAACCATTCAGATGTCTGGTGCATCTTACATTTTTTAGCTTAAATATCCTCAGTTTTTATCACACTTTCTCAAGGTGTTCAGACTTCACATACTGTCTGCCCATAAAATGGTGCTAAATATAGTCCATCTATCACTGCATCTGATATTATTAATGAATATGAAGTTTGTATCACTGCCCCAACAGTCCGTTTACAGTGTCCTGATACCAATGAGGTGAATTAAATTTATTATTGTAAAAATATATCATTATATAACCTGGCATTCTGACTTATTAAAATGATTTTGAATGTTGCCTTTCATCATTAAATGTATGATATATCCTTCTCAGCTTTGTGACATTCACAGATTTTTAATGCCTTCATTTATGTCAGTAATTAAAAGGGAAATGGGGTATATATTAGAACACAGAGCTATATGACCCTTCACCAGATACCTTCCTGCATATGTTAATGATTCTTAAATTTATTCTCTCTAGGTACATTTATTCAGTCAAGTACAAATGAATTAAAGTTACTTTTTCTTTCCTGGATGTAAAAATTACCTTGAGATTCAGCAAAGTTTGCTTCAGTTTAGATATAGTCTCTACAGCATTCTTCTCACTTAGAAATGCGGCCTAGTGACATTTTTAATGAACCTATCTTAGCCTCCGGGGATCATTGCTGTGTCCTTAAATCAGTTTCAATCCAAATATTTAATAAGTTATTTCATAATCCAAGATTATCAGTTTGTATTTTATAAATTCCATGTATTTTGCTTTCTTGGGAATTTAACTTTTTATAAATAAAAAAATCACATCTGCTAGTTGTGCCTGGCACAGGGTAACCTTGGGTGATACTTACAGTGATCCTATCATATTGGTGTTTTTATCCCTATTTGTAGAGAGGAGCAAGTTAAGCGCTGAGAGATTTTGCTCCGAGTGTATTGTTAGTAGGTCACCATAACTGGCCGGAAGCCGCGTAGTTTGACGTGAGGAGTGCACGATTATCTACTCAGGCACACAGTATGGTTACTGGGCAGACAGCCTTAGTCATGACAACACCACACGCCAGGCTTCATGGACCTCCCAGCCAGTGAAGGGAGGTAGACTGAAATCAATATGTAAAATGAGTGATATGCCAAGAGGCAGGGGAGAAATGCAATAAAGAAAAATAAACAGTGAGGGGAGAAGTTGGAAGGAGAGAGCCGACTGGGGACCTTGTCTTTCAGACGGGTGGCCAGAATACGTCATTCTGATAAAAGGATGTCTTTAGAGGGAAAATTTTGGAAGCTTGAAGAAGATTTAAAAACCGCAAGGGAATACTTTGTAGCATTAAACACTTTGACTAAGGGTCAAAGAGATGTAGTTTTGCATCCCAATTCTGAAACCTCTTTGCCGTGCGACCTGAGTTAATAAGTGCCCTTTGGAAGACAATTCTCACCTTCAGGAATTCATCATTAAAAAGGGGGCAAGTGGGCACGTATTTATGTACAGATTATTTATTGAAATATGGTTTATAATGATAAAAGTTGACAGCATAGAACATCTTATCAGTTTGTACTAAGATAAATTATGCTATAGACTCATGTGGAGTACCGTTAAATCACGTGATACTGCATCATAGTATATACCAAAATGCTGTAATAAATCTGTATATACAAACATGGGATGATTCACCGTGTGTGTGTGTGTGTTTGTGTGTGTGTGTGTAATACGTGTATATTTAGAAAAAGAAAGATGAGCAAATAAGCATTTAAATGTATAGAACGGGTAAGTTTGGTTGGATTGTGAACAGATTCTTCTTTTGATTACATTTTAATTTTTATCAGCTATAAACCTATATTTTAGCAAAAGTGTAAATGAGCATACATAGTATGCAGCCCCTCTTCCCCAAGGATTTTATCATTAACACATCGTTTTTATGGATTGCAAGTTCATATCATTGTTTTTTTACCTTCTGGAGGGACAGACTCCGTTCTTTCCCTCCATCTCTGCACTGGTTCTGTGATTGTGCTCATCACCGATCCTCCGGTGGTCCACATGCTTGTCGAGATCCTATGTTCTGAGACACAAATAAATTAAACAGTGAAATAATCACAAATGCCTTCTCTTGTCCTTAAAAGGGGGCAAATGGATCAATTTTTATACATTATTCTTATTCTAAAATGAGCAAGCATAGAACATTTTATGAAACAAGTGGGCTTTGACCGTAAGTGAGAAGCTTCTGTTTCAATGCTTTTCTTAACAAAAAGATGCAACTTCTGTATTGCAGCCCCCGATGAACATACACTCCATCGTGGTGCAAGTCCAGTGCATCAACAAGAAGGTGGGCACTGTGATCTACCATGAAGTTCGAATCGTGGTGAGGGACAGGAATGACAACTCACCCACGTTCAAACACGAGAACTACTATGCCACCGTGAATGAGGTTGGTTTCCAGCTCCTCTTCCTTTGTGCCCTTTTTATTGATCTGTGTAGCTCACTGGATACTGTGCATGCCTTGAAGTGATGCTCCACAATAATAGGGTTAGCTGTTTAGAAATATCACCAAAAAATAAATAAAACATTTTAAGGAATAGTGCTTCAGAAGACATAAGATCTGGGTGACATCTGGTAAGATCTCAGGAATTCATTTTGCTATGGGCAAAACCTGATTTGCTTCTAATAATGACCAAAATGTCAGTATTTGTGATCGTCTTGGACAATTTCATGCCCAAATCCACATATATGCTTACTGAGGCTCAACAGAAGCTATTTATTCTCATTGTAACTTGTTGAACTGATTGTTTTCCATATCTCTGAGGTGGTAGCAGGAATTAAATACTGGAAGAGAATATCTGAGGTTTTTTTAATTTAAAGTTATTTCCTTACTTTTTAGTTATTTTTTTAAAGATTTTGTTTATTTATTTGAGAGAGGGAGTGTGAGAGAGCACGAGAGTGGGGGGCAGAGGGTGAGGGAGAAACAAGCTCCCCACTGAGCAGAGAGCCCAGTGCAGGACTTGATCTCAGGACCCTGAGATCATGACCTGAGCCGAAGGCAGATGCTTAACCAACTGAATCACCCAGGTGCCCCAAGTTGTTTCCTTAATTTTAAAATCAAGTTGTAGTATATGCAAATATTTAAATATAAGTCACAACTCAATTCTGATGCTGATTAAATACTTTTTAAAAAATTTAAGTATTACTGCTTTCACTAGAATGTGCTTTTTGGTTGTTTTGCTTTCTTTTGTTTTTCCCTTTGAGCCAAAATCCATGGGCCAAGAAGCCCTTTTATGTTATTAAAACAACAACAAAAACAAAAAACAAAGACCCAGTGGTTACTCTGCTAATTTTTTGTTATTCCACTATGAAAATATTTCTAATGTATCTCTGGTATCCAAAGCTATTATGCATACTTTAGACACATGAAAAATGAACCACATTTTTAATAGTCCATATTTTAGAGGATTATTTTTACCTCCCAGGTGTTTTTTTCTTTAAAACCTAAAAACTATGTGCCTGCTTTATAGGAGGAATGTGTACTTGGGGCATTATACACAGCATTGGGCCTTTAACCTCTACACACTTGCTTTTTCAAATTATTTAAAATGTATCTTATTTATCTCAACATTGTTCTATTCAAAAACATTGAAGAAATGATGTTTCTTATAGCATAAGCCTTTGTAGATTGAATTACTAAAAAA